TATATACATTATACATATACATATTTTATTTCGCCAATGTAATATCAATTGGTTTTTGTAGGGTTCAAGTTCAACCACGTGTTGAGGAAACAACAAAAGTTTCAGGCCAAGTTAAAGTTAGCACAATTCGTCGTGTCTTTGGCCGATTTTTACCCTTTTTATTCTCCAAAAATAAAGTCGCTCCCTCCGCTGATGCAGCCGGAGATTCCTCTGTTGAAAACAAAGTTGAGGCCGAATTGGAAGTCGGTAATAAGCACGAAAGATGTGTTGATAAACCAGCTTCTGCTAACAGTGAAAAGGATGAGACTGGAATGGAAGTCGGCAAGGAAAGTGTCGATATAGCAGCAGCTGTTTCTAGCGCTGGAAACACTTCAATGTTGAAACAACTTAGCCAAGATGAGCAACCACCAGTTAACCAAATGGAAAGCGAAGAATCTGCTTACATACATGGCCTAAGAAGGGTGAATGAGATACTGCCAAATGATATAAGCAACTTTGATCCTTACAGCCTGCAGCCAGTTTTGGACGTAGCAACCCAAGATCCTATAATCCTCGGTAATGGAGCTTTCGGATCTGTCATCCTTGCCTGTAACCGGGGTGATCCCAGAGCATTAGTTGCTGTCAAACACATTCCATTTCGTCAGCAAAATAGCGGCTTTGAGCGAGAGAAGATTCTGCTTGAAGCACGGGTTATGTCAATGTTGCAATCATTCCATTATTATCCTGATATCTATGGAGTATTTGAAGATTTTGTCCAACCAAAGGGTATTAGCTTAGTGATGGAGTTTGTCAGCATCTTCCAAGGTTTGCAAACAGTGTCCTTAGAAAGGTTGTGTAATAATAAGGCCGAAAATGCCATCGTTCTTTCTTCTGCTCAATTCATCAACATTGTCGAAGAAATTACACGCGGACTGAAACTGCTCCATACATATGGTCTGCTCCACAATGACATTGCTGCTAGAAATATAATGTTGTGTCACACATACTCTGGTGTATTACAAGCAAAAATCGTTGACTTCGGACTGGTCTGTGCCATCGACGCTCCAATTAGCCGCAACTTCAACTACCTCAGTGATTTCGAAATGCAACGATGCATGCGGGAGAACCCAGAGATTGCTCCTGAGCTCTTAGCCGGTGCTTTACCTTCAGTTGAGACGGATATCTTCGCTCTGGGCACAGTCATCAAATCCATTGCCACATTCAGCAGACTCGCTGTGTTAGATAAACTTGGAGACAAATGTCGCCTGTATTATCCAATGGCGCGATCATCGCTCAATGAAGTACTTGAAGATATTGAATTTGTCCAGGATGACACATCTTACCTTAACTTAAACTTTTAGACTGGTAATGGCAACCAACACTTTCAACTAATTATCTCAACATTATAGAGGGAAATTATTTATTTTTAAGAAGAATCTTCCGGTAACGTTTGTCATCAGACACTTGGTAATTGGGTTTTGAAACGAATTTTGATTACGCGATCATCAAGTCCATATAAAACCGACATTTTTATATATTGCTCCAAGAATAGATTGTATATTTAAACAAGAACATTGTAAAGCACCGGAAGATTGGAATCACATAAGTAAGCTTATATTCCAATACAGTGAAAACTATCAACGTTCCTTGAATGGCGACTACAAGGTGTTTACATTCTCTTCACGTAGACTATGACTGTAATTGTGAAAGGAACTATCAATTGAACTTGGACTGGATGTTCTAGCCTCTGGACAAAAACAAGAAGAATATCAGCATTTGAACTCACCGTGGAAAACAATTATGTTCATTAAAAAATTAAAATAACAAAAAAAAAAAAAAAAAAAAAATTATGTTCATTAAAAAATTAAAATAACAAAAAAAAAAAAAAACAAAACAAAAACGAAAAAAAAAAAACAAAAACAAAAACAAACAAGAGAAAGAGGAAAACAAAAACAACATGCCTACCAACCAGTGGAAATAGACTGAAAGGCTGCAACAGGTAATTCAAATTTTGTATGGATTTTCTTGCAAAAAGTAACAAAAAGAAAAAGAATTACTATCAGAAGAATGTTGGATTTGGACATCTCATGTGAAGTAAATATTTTACATATCACCATGGTGCTTATGTTTCTTTTAAAAAGTATGATGTCAGCGACTACGACGAAGAGATGATGCATTCGAACTAGATGATGGGTGTGTCTCATTTTAGCGCAATATTTCAGTTTCACTGCGTTTTGAATTACTGAACAAAGTAAACATGTTGTGGATACATAGCCTATTTAAACATTACTTACAGACGTGTAATACACCTGAATATTGAAATCGGCCAACTCTACTTGAAGTCAATGTGAACAAATCAGTATTAGTGGGCCTAACTGTAGTTTGAAAGGCCTACATTTTGATAACACGAAGCGATATCAACGTACACAAATTTTAAATTGTGATAACTGACAGCCGGACGTTCAGCAGAGGAGCATGTTAAAAGTACGAAAATTTGAAATCCGGCAGGCAGATTAGCAACCCGGATTGAAGAGGTGTTTACAAGTAAGTTATACTTCTTATTATAAACCCCAGTATGTAGGAGTTAGGCCTCTGTATAATTATCAATAAAACAAAATTAATAGTAAAATAACATCATCATTATTGTATTTTTTTTCCAAAATTAATTTTATTCAATAAAATTCATTCATATAAAAATTATTCAGAAAAATATATAACTTTCATTAATTATTAAAATTATTTATCACTATCATCATCATCATTGCCTATTATTATTGATTAGGCCTACCATCATCTTAATCATCATCTTATAACAGTCATCATATTTACAAGGCATTCGTTACCATCTTCTTTGTCATCGTCGTCATCTTCCTCAGTTAAATTATTTAACATAAGGTTTTGTATTTACTGCAAAATTTACAAATCCATACATTTTTATGTTTTTTTTCATGTAGATTTTCGATTGCAAGTGTGAAAAGGACTATTATTTGAACTTGAAATGGAGATATGCTAACTCTAAGAAAGGCAAGAGAGTAGTTCAAGAAGGCCAAGGAAAGATTGAAACAGTTCAAAGCAATTTTTGTAAAGCGAAAAGGATAGCAAAACTTAATAATCAATCAATAAACTTTTATTTCGGAATTTCCTCCATAACAAATACAAAAATGGAAAAGATAAATAATATTACAGACTGTAGGCAGTTATAAAACCTGCTCAATACAAAAGTGTATTCCATTTGGAAAACATAGTCGAGTAATATAATACTGACTTGACAACACCTTTAACCAGGCTGTTTTCAGAAGCATATATCCTTTTCATAAAAGAATAAACTGATTTTCTTACAAATTCGTAAAATGAAAGTAGCCTGCATAGCGATACATTTATATCCCCACTCCACCCATGGATTAATCGTATTTATTTTGGACGTCACAGAATACTATAGGATGACATCATGGATGAAAACTCCCTCAAATTGTATTTGTTGGTGCACCAAAAGAAATCAGAAACCACTAATCAATGTTCAAATAGTCGACTTCTCCTGACTACAGTACGGTATACATCTTAACGGATCAGGTTACGAACAGTTTAATTTGTGAGCAAATATAAAGCGACGACGATGATTTGGATGATCATTAAGAGGTTTCAGCTTTTTAAAGAACTGAACGAAACTGAAAAGTGTGCGTATAGCAATAATAACAGTGTAGGCTAATACACCAAGAGAATACAATCAGACTATTATAATTATTGGAAGTCAGTTTGGACATCAATATTTGAATAGTTTGAAGATGAGTAGCCTATATTGATTACTCAAAACGATATCAACGTGGGTAAATCAAGAACCCAAAAGTCTGGTAACTGAAACAGTGACAAAATGACCATTGAATAGAAAAAAAAAACTTCAGGATACTATGGATTATAAAGAGATGACATAACACAGTCGACATGGATGGACGTATCACCATGGATGAATTATATTCATTGTAGAAATTACTTAAAACTAGGAAAAAGATACGTAATGATTTCATGGAATAGGCCTATGGCAGAATGCAAAACTCATTAATAAGTGAACATGTTGTTCAGATATTAATCATACTATTTTCATATTGATTACGTGAATGATTCGAGCAAATAAAATATTTCATACCGTACCTGCAGTAGACGATGGAAATATAAATATACTGACTGGAAAATTAAGAGGAAACAAAAAACTTAAACATCAATAACAATGTAATACACCCAGTTGGAAGCAGACAATATTAATGATAAACATTTAAAGTCAGTTTGGACAAATCAGTATTTGAACTATGAGTATAATTCTATTTATTACACTATAAACGATACCAACGTCATCGATCAACAGCTACAACAACGGAAGGTGGGGTGGAAACGACATGACACCCTGCCCTATTATTATTATTATTATTATTATTATTATTATTATTATTATATCTATATCTCAGTGTATGTTGCTGTCTCTTATACACATCTAGATGTGTATAAGAGACAGCCCTCACCCCTCCCTCCCGTTTGAAAAATTTTGGATCCGCTCCTGACAAAATTTCATAGTTACATCTAGCTTCTTACAGCAAGAATACCAAAAATAACAATGGGTTAACTGGCAGACAAATATCAGCCTACACGGAGAAGGTCTAGAAAATCAAATGAGTTACTTAACGTGAGTTTAAATTTTATATCATTTTGTCTTTTGTCATTACTCTTTTGTAAGCCTCTGTAAAATTATGAATAAAACAAAGTCAACTTTTTGTAAATATCGTTGTCATCATCATCATCATCATCATCAACTAACAACACCACCACCATCATCATCTGCATCAACATCATCATTGTCATCTGTTTTCATCATCAGCCTTATCATTATCATCATCAGTTCAACATCATCGTCGTCGTCATCATCATCTTCATCCTTTTCACCAACATCAATTGGTCTGTATTTACAGCATCTATAATTAGGGAAAGATCGGGAACAAAAAATGTTGCTTTTAATTTTTATCTTATTTTAAAATGTGATAGCGCCCTCTTCAATTACCTTGATTTCTTCCCTCTCTCTCTCTCTCTCTCTCTCGCAGCCTGTCTGGTAAAGTTCTGCAATTTTTTCTGGTCCTTCTGATTCAAATGTGTTTGTTGGTAAGTGTTCTAGGCCCTAGTTACATTATTTAATTACTTGATTCGATCCGTTTGGGTGTATGATACCTAACCTAGGGCCTAGGCTACACATACCGCCTCTAGGCCTAGGCCCTCCTAGCAAAGCTAGGCGTAGCCCTAGCCCTAGGACCTAGGTGAGCTCCGACTTAACCCTAGCCATATAGGGTAGGAGGACTGATAGGCCTAGGCTAGGTCCCCCTAGCCCTTGAGTCTTCCACTGCCCAGCCAGAATAGGCCTGTCTGAAAGGCTAAAAATATACAAAGTTCTACCGGGCCTAAAAGGCTAGGTAGGCTAGTCTGCAAAGCCCTACCTTCAGAAATGATGATTATATATTTTTTAATTGTGCGGAGGATATCTATATAATCAGCTCAAATTTACATGAAAAATCGCTAGGAAAATAGGTACACAGAAACGTAATTGCTGCATAATTGCATTAATTATAATTAAGAATTATTATACTGTATATTAAGATTTGGTCAAAGCCTAATTTAAGGCAAAATCTGCGTGGAAATTGGCCCTTATTTTCCAAAATGCGGCACGGACAGATTTCTAGGCCAACTTTTGCGCTGAGGATAAAATTCCCTGTCCAAGCCTTACTGCAGTCTGGGAAGAAAGGACATATGTAATAATGATTAATCATTCAGGATCAATTCACCCTATTACAGGCTACAGTACAGTCAAATGGCATTACAACCTAGGATTGTCCAACAAGGGGTCTCAATTACTAGTTTGGTCTAGGGGCTGATTGCCTCATTTGGCGAAAAATTTCCAATACTTAAAATCTACAAAATTTAATCTAGTCATCATTTGTTTTCAATTTTGTTTTTCCTCATTAATTGAGCATTTTTGCTGGATTGGCAGGTGGTGAGGTGTTACAGTACATCACTAAAATTCAGGAATCACAAAGGAGACATGGTTTAGTAATCTACTGGATACATAGTTAATTATTCACTTCCACATTATTGATTATTAATGATTATATTAATTTTGATGTAATGTTAATATCCCATATGTACTACTTCATGCTGTAAACTAAATAAAATATGAATTTTAATTTTATATTGACTGTCTTTCTGCAATAGGTCAAATGTAGGAAAATAAATCATGGATGGCGATCAGACTGAGTTTGAACGGCAATTGCAGTTAGAAAAACGATTATCAGAGGAGAATGCATCAGCTTGCACTTACACAGACCCAAATGATGGAACTGTATTTGAGTGGGATGAATCCAAAAGAGCTTGGTTTCCAAAGGTCAGTCACACTGGACCCTGTTATGGATTGTAGTTCCAATATAAATTATTGACGGTTTTATTATTTTTTTTCAGGGTGCTGATGTGATAATAGTATTATTTTAGTTATTTATATGTTTTTATTATTTTATTTAATTATGTTTATATTACATTATTCCTGATTATTGGATCCATAGATCAGTACATAGCCTTGGTTCTAGGCCATTATTTTATATAATCAATCAACAAATGAGAACAGCCCATATAGTACCACCAACCAGCAAAGTAAGCCTTGGTTTTGTTTTTTAATTGCCTGTAGCAGCCAAGGCAAACGCTGGCAAGTAGGCGTACCTTATTAAGGAGGGGCGTACCTTATTAAGGAGGGGCACACCATATTTGGTGATAGTAGTTTTTGTACCGCTTTTGCCACTCATCAGCCCTCTTCTTTCTTTATTGATTTTGTTGTTGTTGTACTGGCTGAAAGGAATATAAAATAAAATTTTAAAAAACCAATATTCATTAATTAATTGGTGATTAAAATATTAATACCAGACTTAAAAGTACAAATTTAGATTTCTAGTTAACGCAGACTTACTACCTTTATGAAACTACATGATATTGTTTCTAAAATTTGTTGTCAGGTAGATGAGGATTTTCTTGCTGCCTACCATGCAAGCTATGGGAACAGTACTGCAGAAACACCAACCGACACAAATTCAGCTGCAAATGAAAATACAAACAATGAAAAAGGGGTCACAAATACTGTAAATAATGAACCAGAGGCTGGCGGGTCAAAGGTTACTCCAGCTACTAAGAAAAGGAAACAGACTCAAGAACGTAAGCAATAAAATCTGAATGAAAAACAATGTACTATAATTAATAGTTTTTATAAAAATAATTTTCATTCTATCTTCTTATTGCACCTCCATCATTGAGCTACTCTAATGTCTTCATTGTGAATCGCAACTGCATCTCTACATGATCTGCATTATGGGTCATTTCCAACACTTTTTAAGTGCTCCAAATGGTCAATTTACCCCCTATTCAACCTCCATAAAGGGAACACATCATTTTACACATACGGAAATCATGTTTTCTCTCCCACCTTTTAAATATAATATACATTTAAAAAAAATACTTATGAACGAAAACTGAAAAATTGATCCAAGCTAAAGCTCTATAAAGTTTATAAATTTTAGTCACTCACAGCAATATTAATCATATACCTTAAGTACTGTACTGCATACACAAAAGCTTGTGTTAGGAGACAATTTTTTATACTTTGTTTAACAAACTTACTGCTCACCAGTAATGGTGATTTCGAATGAAAATATAATTTTATTTTTGGCCAATTCGCGCACCCAAATATGGAAATTTCAGAAAATAATAATAGTTTGTCTTTATTTTTATTACGCCCACCTCTGCCTTGAAATTTCCAAAATCTAAGATACTGTATCTTAATTATATAAATTAATAAAATTTTCTTAATTATATAAATTAAAAGCATTTAACTATCACATTACTACCGCTGTTTACAATAATCAACATAATTTTTATTTTTATTTTCTCCTCCAATTGTTTTTGGCAAAACCATTTGCTGAATAAGAAAACAAAATGGTTTTTTTTCCCCGCCCTTTGACGATCCTTAAAAAATAACTTCGCGAAGCAAGGTATAAAAGAAGTCTTGTCTCAACAATCTCAGAGTGCTATATTTTTGATTTATCTTAATTGTAGACAATACAGCTTACCATAATTTATATTTTATAGAGTGGTTTGAGGTGGATGAAGAGAAAAACACAAATGTGTATGTGTCTGGACTGCCAGAGGATATAACAATGGATGAATTCAAAGAACTAATGGGCAAATGTGGCATTATCATGGTGAATGAGGAGACAGAAGAACAGAAATTAAAGCTTTACAAAGACAGTGACGGCAACTTGAAAGGAGATGGACTCTGCTGCTACCTCAAGGTATGGTAGAAAAGTAAATCCTTACCGAACCACTAGTAGAGTAGCTTAGCTCAGTCGGCTAAACTGGTGGTAGCCACTGTGTGTGCACTCAACTGTGGAGATCTGTAGGTTGCCGGTGCAGTTTCCATCCCTGCTATCCTTGAGTTTCTGCTGGAGGGCTGAAGTACAAGTTATGATAACGCATTGTCTTTCGGATGAGACATTTAAGCCGTTGGTCCCATGTGCGTTATGGCCCATGTGCACGTTAAGCATGCAGTCCACATTTCGGAAAAGAGTAGGGGATTGGATATATAGTGAAACGGATGTTCCACTATATTTGGAAGCTGCTCTATCTTCTGCTATTTATTATCTTTGCTGGTACCCAATAATACAGACTTTTATACTTATTAGAATTATTTAAACCAATAATTGCATTACATCTTGTTCTTAAAGCCAGATTCCAGAGGGGGAAAATTGTTGTTATGATGTATAGGAAATTTTCCTAAGACACAAAAATGGGAAGGGTTAATAAAATGCAAATTTTTGAATGTTTAGGAACTGGGGAAGAGGAGGGGTTATGGCCCTTTCCCCCTCCCAGTTCTTAAATATTCAAAAACCTGTATCCTTAAAGCCTGTCTTTAATGATAAGACACTGCTGGTTGGGAAAATTATGTTAAAAAATTAAATAATAATGATGATCATCATCATTAGCATAGATATAAAAATATCATCATCACCATCTAAAACTTACTAAAAATTATGTAAATTTTGATTACATAATAATTTAACAGTCCATAATTAATAATATTGTTTAACTTTACTTTATGTTTAGAGGGAATCTGTTGATCTTGCTCTGCAACTTTTGGATGAATCTGATTTGAGAGGACATAAAATCTCAGTAGAAGTTGCAAAGTTTTCACAGAGGGGAGAATACCGCCCTCAACGGAAGAAAAAGAAAAATAAGAAAAAGAAAAAAAAGACACAAGAAAAGTAAGTTCGTGTGAAGTATGTATATTGTTTACGCCATGTTTAATAAAGTCTCATCATTTGCGACCCTTGACCTTAAAAGTTCCAGCAGGGATTAGATCCAGGAGTCAGACCTTGGGATTGCCCAATCAAATACCCGTTTATTATTGTCATGAATTTCATTTATTATTTTTTAAGTTTTATGTTTGGAGAAACAAAATATAGTTTTCATGTTTTTTAATGGATCAATGTGCTTTCCATTACTGTAAATAATAAAAAAAATTATGATACATTTAATTTTGTTAGTTTGTGTACTTTGCAAATACACATTGTATTTAGTAAATTCTGAAATGTTAAATTCTGCATACACTTACATCAAAACTTTTACTATTACTATTACTTTTCATAATATAAACTACCGCCTTTAAGCAAGTCTTTTTTTACACATTGTTTCACAAACTTATTTTTTTATAGATCGTCAGAGGAGGGTGGAAAAAAATTAAAATAATATTTTATTTTCTTGTTTAGCAAATAGTTTTGCCAAAAATATCCAGATGAATTAGAAAATAAAAATAAAATTTTGTTGGTGAATGTAAACAGTGTAGTCATGGAAGATTAAATGCCTCAAATTTATATAATTAGGAAGAAATATACATATCTTATTTTTGGAGATTTCAAGGTAGCAGCGGGCTTAATTAAATTTTATAAATAAAAATTTAATTTCTTTCTGAAATTTCCTTTTTTTCGTGGTGGTGGTGGGTGCGCTAATTAGTCAAAAATAAAATTTTATTTTTATTTGAAATTATCAATATTGGCGGGCGCGGGTTCGATAAACAGGTTATAAAAATGTATTGCTTTATTGCCTTGACTAACTCCTTGATTCATTTTATTTGTTTTTAAAGGTTACTTGATTGGAGGCCTGAGAAGAAGTTACCACAGCGCAAGAGGAATGAGACTGTTGTTATCATCAAACACCTATTCCATCCCAATGAGTTTGATGTAAGTCATCACTAATTATTCTATCTCTCTCTCATCTTTGAGTGATGTTGGTGGTCATTGCTTTTCATGAAATGCGATTATCAAATTCAATTGAAGTGCCTTTGCCCAAGGACACAAGGATAGTAACCAGAGTTGGTCCAGACTTACTCGGACAGTTTTATGGCAAGCCGAAAATAATCTGTCATTGTGATTGAGTTAAAGGCCTAGTTCGGGCAGGGTTTGGCCTGTATTTTACTGTTTCAATTTTAATTTTCTTACCATTGATTTGCTTCGGTGTATGACTCGGTCCATGATTCAGTATGCTCTGTTTTGGTTTTTGGTTGGCTGAACCTTATTGGGGAAAGTCAATGTTGAAAATAGTGGAGAGTTAAATTGCAAGAAAAAGCACGGTTGGACATTAATGTAACAAGTAACTACCTCTCGATTGAAAGCTCAAAGTCTTATTGCTGCACATTTAACAAGTACCATCACTGTTATTTGCTTATATGTGTTATGTATAGATATTTCACAGTATTTGACTTTACACACAACATTTTATTTTGTTTGAATGGCCTTCATTGATATGGACAATTTGTACCTACAATGCCAGTGGCGGATTTAAAAGGTCCATTATATATTATAAAAAATTGTGGAGAGAAGTAGAAAATTATATTCAATTTTAAGTCTGAGAGCCATTTTTTTGGCCATTTAGAGGTGCCATAATGATACATTTTCTTACCTCACTCCCCACTATGGTGGGGTTGAGCTGGTAAAGACCCTTTATCTGTGAAAATCCCTCCCTGGGCCCTGTTATTCTGAATTTCTGGATCCGCCACAGAGCACATCAGCCCAATGTAGTTTATTAAGTAGTTTATTATTATTGCATAAGAGCAACGTGATTCTAATACACAACATTGCTTTTGCTTAGTTAGATATCCTTGAGTTGGCATAATGTTGCAAAATAGTAATTAAAAGTTAATTAGTAGCAGATGTGTTGAACTAGTTATTAGAATCACAAGTATTTGAATTACCTCATTATCTATAGTACTTAATAGAGTACAAGCATGGAGGAATTAGTTTATGGTGCAAGGTCTCACACCAATCAAAGAGGATAGAATTTCTCTTTTCATAAATTCATTCATTCTTTCTGTTTTTACTTCACAATACAAAAAGGATGGGTTTTTAATTTTGACGTGTAATTTATTTTAATTTTTATTTGTCCTTATGAGATGTGTTTTTATGTGTTAACATTTTATAATACTACTTTGCAGCTGTACTTATGTTCTGATCATAGCTCTGATGTTTTATTTAATGTCAAAACAGTGGACAGCCAAATAAAACAAAGCATTATATATTTTTATTATATATAAGATACTGTATACAGAAAAATATAATATTTTTTTGGATCCAGTAGAACAAATTATTCCAATTTAATAAATATTATTATTATTATTATTATTATTATTATTATTATTATTATTGTTATTATTATTATTTGTTATTTATTTGTTAGTAATTCTAGTTTTGATTTAATTTGTCATCAATTTTTGTAATGTAAAAAAATATATAAAAAAAGCATGTTTATAATAACATGACTTTAAATTTACAACCTAGTTGATATGGACTGTTGTTCTCTCTAGAGAATATTAGTGCATTAAAAAAAATGCTCAGAATAGTTGGCATTATTGCATGTTAAAGATGAAATGCAAGAGGGCTTGTTTTGGCTGCAAATCAATTTCTTTCATGAGAAGATACATTTATGATCTCGGTTGAATATACTGTGGTTGCTATTGCTTGCTTGGTTCAAAGAAATTGTCTGCTGGTTCGATGTGTAGAGCGTATCAAGAATCAGGCCGAGTTGTTTATTCCCGAGTCTCTCCCATTTATTTGTACTGTAGTACTGTAGGATATCACATTTCAATACCATTCCCAGGTAGACCATCATTCATATAGTAATTAATAAATATTCTATCTTAGGCGATACAGTACCTTGTTTTTTGTGTACTTATTTTTTTAACGATCGTCAAAGGAGGGTGGAAAAAAATTAAAGTAAAATTTTGTTTTCTGATTTAGCAAATATAATTCTATTGTTGAATGTAAACAGTGTAGTAATAGAATGCTTAAATGCTTTAAATTTACATAATTAGGAAGAAATGTGCATATCTTATTTTTGGAGATTTCAAGGCAGCAGCGTAATAAAAATAAAGAAAAACCTTTATTTTTTTTCTCTGAAATTTCCATTTTTTGTGGCGGCGGTTCCAGGTGCGCTAATTTGTCAAAAATAATATTTTATCTTTATATGAAATCATCATTATTGGTGACCGGGGGATGTGCTAAACAAGGTGTAAAAAGTCTACTCTATATTTTGATAAAAATGGACAACAAAAATATATTTTGTGCTATTTTTTGAGATTTTTCCACACTATATCCTTCACTTTGTAATACTTTAGCTTCGGGGGTGGGTTGGGAAGGCTGGGTGCGGGGATGCTCACCTTTCAGTGTCAGGGTCTTGGGTTCAAAATCTGGGGGTTGACTAAAAACAGCCCCACTCCCGAGGCTGCCATGAGACTTATTTATATTAAAAGCATAACTGGTATTGTTGAAGAAAATTACAGTAGGTTGATTCTGATCAGGTTTGAAAGTGCAAATATAAAAAAAAAGCAATAATATTTATACTTGTATAGATAGATGTGGCTCATGTAATCCTCACATCAATAAAGGCACTATATTTTCTGCTGCTGCTGTTTTTTTTTTTTTAAGTACACAGGTATGCATGTTGTGTCTTTAATGGTTTGCCAGATAATTTATAGTTTCTAAATTTAGAATGCTGTCTAAATGTGTACCAAATATGGAAACTTGGAGGACTACTGTGTTTGTTGTATCAGGTGTGGAAATTGTTGTTTAAAATCCAATCTGAATTCTTTTTTAATTTACTTTCTAAAGCTCTGTCATACATAACAATAACATTATGAAATATGCGTAAATATGGTTATGATGACATCACATCATGGCCATTTATAGCAAGGGTGGACATAAAAAAAAAATGGTCAGAGGGCCAAAGTGAATTTTTGATTTAACACCCAAACTTTGATGTTTCCTGTGCACTTCTAAAAACCTTCATGCACTGGTTTTATACTGTTTTATGTTCAATTTTATTATTACATTGTACAGATTATCGGTGTCGGGCCTTGATAAACAATGTTTTTTTCTAGCCAAAGATGATTGACAGGCCGCACACATAGTGTTTTTTATTTGTTTTCTCTGGCTGCAAAAAAGTCGGCTGTCGGGCGCACTTTGCCAACCTGTAATTTATAGGCACATCATGACTATTATGGGCATACAATAGTTTGTACTACCACGCTTTTAAGAAGAAAACGTGGTAGTCTGGACAAAACTTAACAGAGTTAAGTTGATTGACAAACTCACCCCGGCTAATAAATTTCATTTAAACAATGTTTACAGGTCGGTTAGTTTCAGGTTTTGTATTACCATAGTACAAGTAATATGACCCTTACTTTTTAGAGCTAAGTAACAGCACTCAAAATCACTCAAGCTTAAGATTCCTGGATGCTTCCATATTTGGTCAGTGCATCATCAATTTTTCCTCTTTGTGATACTCATACAAAATGGAGTTCATTTTCAATCAAAATTAAAAGTAAATTTTTCAAATGTTCTGATTAAAAAATGTACACTCATTGTATTTTCTTCACTTCAAATAGGAGGATGCGACAGTCATCAATGAAATCAAAGATGATTTGACAGCTGAATGTTCCAAATTTGGAGATGTTAAGAAAGTACTTATCTTTGATGTAAGTTGACAGTACCATGATTTCCTTGATTTTACTTAAGATGGTCCATAGATAAAGGGTGATTTATTTGTTGATTGATTCACTGATTAACCCATTAATCTATTGAGTTTTACTATTAATATTTTTTATGATGTGATGGTCATCCAGTCACTCGTCGCAAAAAAAAATGATTTTTAGTTATTAATACAGGGTTAAACTGTAAAATGAGAGCTTTAAAACGGTGAAAGAATCATTTAAATCCGACATTTCATTATGTAGTTACAGGAGTTTAAACATACAGCTGTTTAAGCACAATATTTGAGAAATCAGCCTTCAAAGTTTAAGATTTCGGGCATTTCATAGGCAGAAACCATCACCAAATCATTAAAATTGATGTTTTAACATTGGAAATAGGGAAAATAACAGCATAGCATGATGTATAGATATATAAAGGTTAGTTTAGTGCAATAAAATAGATTTCCAAAATTTTGACATTCCAGGATGCCATTATCTCCGAAACAGGATTTGCGACGAGTGACTTGTTTGGCTTGAGTAGAGAAGTTAAAAATTAATATCATATTACAAACGGTATATATACGGTATATATATATATATACGGTATATATACGGTATATATATATAGTGAGGAAATAAAGCAAGTTAACGTTCCAATAATAGATAAGTTTTAAGATTTTTTTTTTTAAGATCAACAACTTGAATGAACAGGTTCCAAAAAGTTAGAAAATAATAAAATCAAATAAATTAATAATTTAATTTACAGACAACACTTTGTTTTACCAAATATTTGTCACTATTAAACTACTGTACATTAACAAATTATAACTGTCAGAAATATAAATGTTAACTAGAAATTGCAAATTGCAAGTGAAGTGCTGCGAAGTACAACTGCATATAAATGTTCTTCAAACAAAATTATTTATGCAAGTCAAATGAAAATAATGAATAATAAAAATATAACAAATAATATGAGACACGACCCATTGTCTATATTAGAACACTGACGAGCTGACGTAGAAACATAGTAAAAACGAGCGTTGGTACCGTGTATGCCAGTCTACAACAAGC